AAGGTTGTTAAAGACAAAATATCATTGTTTGTGGTATAAATATGGCTATTGTCAGTAAAGTGACAATTATAGTATAGTTTCTAGCTGCTATCATCTTCCCAAGGAGTAGCCAGGTTTGCTCTATCGTAACAATGGGCATCAGGGACATCATTTGGGTAGGGCAGGGTGGCATTTGCTACCACCCCCAACCCCCCCCCCCTCCCACTAATTTTAAGGTTTTATTTCAATGGCTGTGTACTGTGACGCCTCCAGTAATAAACTACTTAACAAGCCGACCAAGGTTTGGTTTTGCCCCCCCCTCCCCCTTTTTGAAAAAAACCTGAAATGACGCCCCTGATGGGCATAGTCTATATTAGGTGATTTTTCACTTTCATCTGGCGGCACTGATGTACCAGACAAGTCAACATCATCCTCATCTTACCATTCAGCACTTAAAATAGAAGAATTGTCGGTGTGCGCAATAATTGCCTTAAGCTCTCTCTCTCTCTATCTCCTTACAGCCACTCGCATTGGTCGAATCCTTTTTTTGTTGAGGAGCAGGTGCTAATTTCTTATGCTCAAGAGGGCATTGTAGTTTCTGTTGAACATGCTTTTACCACATGACTTGTGATGCAAAATAGATGTTACAGATTTTGCAAATCCGTTCAAGCAGCGATGTTATTATTGTTACTCACTTAGCGTTCCCACCATTCTCAAAATATCGTATGCCTACTCTTTTAATATCATTTATCGTTCGACTTCTCTTGCACTAACAAAGTGTGCTAGCTAGCATTCTGACCAGTCATCTGCACTGCACAGACAGACACACATTAAATAAATCTTTTATTGTTTTAAAGCCTAAAAATTATATGACTATTTACACTCATTTACACTCATAATTTTTTTTTAATAATGTAATAACCAGTCAATTTTTAAGATTAACATTTTAATAGAGAAATCACGATTGTTGACGTCAACTAATCTAACCTACCCCCCCCCCCCTTTTCAACAACTATCAAACATTTCCAACC